CCCCCCCCCCCAAAAAAAAAAGAACCCTTATATCTGCGCCAAACCGTCTAAGACAAAAAACGCACCAGAAACCGGAAGTGCAGCGGTTTCCTTAGGTTTCCGAATGCATATAGTTCTACAGTAATGTATCTCTTGTTATCAAGTACCAAACCCGTATCCCTTAAAGGGACCCCTGCACAGGAACCATAACATAGGGGCCTAAATAATTGCCAATATTATTTTTTGGGGGTTCCTTATTATAAATATAGTATAAGGGGCCCCCAAACCCTATTCTTATTATCAAGGCCCCTATCTTATTCTATTTGTTCAGGTCCGCGTACTACGGTTGTGGATGTCGGCCCCAGGGCTTCCAGGGTTTAGGGTTTAGGGTTGAGGGAAACCCTAAACCCGAAACCCTAAACCCTAAAGCCCTAAGCCTTGGGAGCTGCATTAGCCTCTAGGGCTTGAGGGCTTAGGGTGGAAGAGCGGTACTAGATCGGGCCTTAGGTGTCTTAAAGATATGCTCCAACGGAATAGCGGGCAGTATGCGACCTGAACCTTGCGAGTCCTCTGGTCCCTACACATGCAGAACTCAACTGAGCAAAACGGCTCGAGTTTTGAACGCTTTTGCACGGGCTCACCATGGTTTCTCGGTTTAGGTTTGGGGGTATGGTAGAGTGAAGCAAGCCCTCAACCGTGATGCAACTCCTATAAAACCCTAAACCCTAAACCCTCCCAACAACACCCCAAAGCCTTAGAAGCCTTAGCCCGGGCTCATGGATTTTCTGGATTCCAGTCTCCCTTGGAAGTACAGGGCCCCACCATAAGGACAGAAGCAGGTTTCGGGTTTAAGGGTTTTGGGTTTAGGGTTTCTGATTTTAGGGTTCAGGGTTTAGGGTTTGGGGGGTTTAGGGTTTCACATGCATAGCTTCGGGCTTAGGGTAGCCGACACTGAAAAAACCATAAACTGACGTGAGTGTCCGAAAGTCCCACATATTACACCCCAAGCCTCAAAACCCTGTTGCAGAACCTCTATACGCAATACAGGGGCCTAAATAATTACCTATATTATTTGGGGGGGGGTTCCTTATTGCAGAAATTGTAATCATAGTAGAGGGGCCCCAAAACCCTATTCAAATCATTGAGGCCCCTACATTACCTGGAATGGGTTTAGGGGTTTAGGGTTTAGGGCCTTGCCGGCAGGATAAGGAGCTAAGCAGCGACGTTGTCTTGGGAAGCATCTTCGAACGGACAGTGGTGTTGACGGTCCGCCTCAGGGGGCCTCAGGGTTTAGGGTTTAGGGTTTAGGGTTTAGGGCTTGTTACCAATTAATATAGAAGCCCAGAAAAAGTTACCAACATTATTCCTCAGGGCTCCTTGTTATAATTATGCTATAAAGGCGCCCAAAACCTCAATCCAATTATCAAGGCCCTAAGGATCTTAAGGGCCTCCCTATGGTCCTCACCAGATATAATGTGTTGATGCATCCTGTACCTAAACCCTAAACCCTAAACCCATTCGGTGCTTCCGGAAATCCTTGGGTTCCACAGACGCTCTAAGAATTGGTATTTGGGTTTAGGGTTTGGGGGTGGGACGTCGACATGTGGGATGATGAACGGCAAGACAGTGTAGGGTGTTGCGACACATTTCAGTCGGTGACCTTATCCAGAGTCGAAACCTGGACTTGTCAACCATAGTCCGAATCCAGAAGAAGCGTTTAACCGATGACTATCGCCATCGTTACGGTTTTGATGATGATTGTTAGTAAACCCTTAGTCGTACTTGCATTATGGTGAGTATCAATATTCTAGAACTGGCTTCTTGATGGTTATTTTATGATTATCAACATTTGTAGCATTATGTATTCTGCTGTTGTTGCTATCTTTATTACCACTAGTGCTTGTCCGCACTTCCTGCTTCGATGCATGTTCCCGCTTTATGTCACCCCGCCCCGGGATTTCTAAATCCTGAACCCCAAACCCAACACCCTAAAACCCGAAAGCCCTAAACCCTAAATCCTAAAATCCCGAAAGCCCTAAACCCTAAACCCTAAAACCCTAAAACCCTAAAGCCCGAAACCCTAAACCCTTAAACCCTATAACCCAAAGCCCTAAACCCAAAACCCTAAAGCCCCAAAGCCCTAAACCTTCGGAGGCCAACATCGTGAGCACCACCCTGGACATCCACGTGCGCAAGAGTCTCTTCAACAAGTTCCCGGACCCGGCTCCATCCTTGTTTAGGGGTTTATAGGGTGTTAGGGTTTAGGGTTGAGGGGTTTATAGGGTTTTAGGGTTTAGGGTTTAGGGTTTAGGGTTTAGGGTTTAGGGTGAACATCCGGGCTCTTGTTGAGGAACTTAACGTTTTAAAAGCCCTATGTCCTAAAACCCCATGAGCCCTACACCCTAAACCCAAAAACCCTATATCCCAAAGCCCCCAAACCCTACACCCTAAACCGCAAAACCCCTAAACCCTAAAACCCTATATGCTAAAATCCCTAAGCCCTAGACCCTAGCATCGAGAGATGACTTCGGCCGCCAGGGGACCTCCGACTTCGGTTTCGGGGTTGGAAGTCCCGGGTTCGGGTTCTAGGGTTTAGGGTATAGGATTTAGGGTTTTTAGAGTTTAGGATTTAGGATTTA